CTCTAGTAAATGCGTCACAAGAGCTTGTGAATGCTACCCACGAGTATCCTTGGGGTATGCCTCCAAACTGGAGGACCACCCAACCTGTGAGTATGGAAATGCCTATGATATATGCTGGAACGAACCCACAAATGCATATTCTGCCCTATGGATATAATGCAACTCTGAATGGAATGGGTTTTATTATGCAAGATCCTTACCAACATGTAGGTACGAGCCAGGAAGGGTCACTAGTTAGGCAAAGTAATTACATACCTACGGGCATCAGTAGCCAAGCTATGACTGCTCTTCAACAACAAATGGACCATAGTAATCATGACATGGTAAATTTGTTGTCAACACAGATGCATAACATACTCTCTCCTTTGTATGAATTAATCAATAAAATAGGAGGCAGATTAGGTGATAATCAACCTTCGAGGGCCACGAGTGCAAATTTGAGTGGAATAGAAAATCACATAAATGATGAAATGGATAACCAGGACAAAGATCAAATTAACTTCGATATAGGGAGGCCTTATAGAAATATCGAGGGGGATTTAGATCAAATGGTAGAGAGGGTGTTACATAGACATGGCTTCGAAGTAGGACAAAATCAACGCCCTTATTTTATATCCGCGTTGCCAGATTACATAACCCAAGCTGAATTACCTAGAGGGGGTGAAAGTCCCTAAATTCACGAAGTTTGCAAGAGAACTAGGTGAATCCACTGTCGAACATGTTGCTAGATATTTGGTCGAATGTGGAGATTTAAGTAGCAAAAAACATTTAAAAATGAAATATTCTCCAAGTTCCCTTACAAAAATGCTTTTACGTGGTTCACAACTATGCAACCTAATTCGATTAATACCTGGGGAAATTAGAGCAACTCCAACGGGAGTTTCTTAGCTCATCAAGCAACTCTAACATGAGTTTCTTACCATTGGAGAAGGCTGAGCTGGCAGCAAGAGTTTCTTGCCGAGGAGAGAGGATTGCTTCACCAAGCAACGGTTGCTTACTTTTTTAAAATGAAGGAGGCGCAACAGAGAACGACGGAGGACGGCGGAGGCGCGGTTGGACGGAGGTGGCGTCCGGGTGGACAGCGGAGGCACGCCGGTGGACAGCGGAGGTGGACAGCGGAGGCGCGTCGGTGGATAGTGGAGGTGAACGTTCTGCCGTGGGTGGCCAGCAAAAGCGCGCTGGTAGACATCGGAGGCACGCCGGTGAACGTTGTGGCTGGACCAGTGCAGTGGCGGCGGCGGCAGCGGCAGCAACGGTGGTAGACGGTGTAGAACGTGCATTTTGGAAGAAAAGGAAAAGGGAGAGAAAAAAAGAAAACCCTTTACGAAGAGAAGAAGAAGAGGAAATGGGAGAGAAAAAAAAGAAAACCCTTTAAGAAATAAGAATTAAAAATTAAAAATATTAAAAAATTAAAATATTAAAATATTAAAAAATAAAAAAAAATTAAAAAATAAAAAAAAATTAAAAAATAAAAAATAAATAAATAAATATCTTGAAAGTTCGGTTGAAGACTTGAAGTATGTTAAAATATATTGAAAGTTTTATTTTATTTTTAATATCTATTTTTTGTATATTTTTTCTCATAATTTATTTTTTTTATTGTAGTGCAATTGTCTTTTTTAATAAAAATTTTAATTTGGTTCATAAATGATTTGAAAAAAAATTTTGAAAACTGAATTTCTTAAAGTTTCTTACCGTTGGAGTGAATTTCTGTTTGAGTTGCTTAATGCTGACATGGTATACTGGGGACCACTTTTTTCAGTTTCCAATGCATGAAGCAACTCAAATGAGTTGCTTCCATTGGAGATGCCCTTAGAGAGAAGCTTCCACAAACATTTCTTTCGAGGGGAAACTAAACTAAGTATCATGGATTTAATGAATACAAAAGGTTGCACAATGAATCACTAGATGATTATTTGAATAGGTTTAGACAACTAAAAGCTCAATGTTACAAGAATATACCGGAGCATGAGTTAGTTAAAATAGCAGCCACTGGCTTAGATTTTTCGATTCAGAAGAAACTTGGGAATGAACAACTTAGAGACGTCGCTCAATTAGCCGAGAAAGTGAGACGGATTAAGCAGATTAAGGTTGAAAAGGAAAGATTAAGAAAATTTGACAGGTTTGTCTAGAAAGAAAAAATAGCTTATATAGATAACATTGAATGTAGGGGCGATGTGAGTGTTGAGAGTATAAATGAAGATTTGGAGGTCAATATAGCAGAGTTACAACCCGGCCTGACCTATTAGTGTCAAATGTTAAAGCCTGGGGACAGTCTAGAATCAGGCACAAATAGGAGATATAGTTTCGACATAACCAAAGCAGATAAGATTTTTGATATTTTGTTGAAAGACAAGAAAATAACTCTTCTAGAGAATCATAAAATCCCGCCTCTCGAACAAAGAAAAGGAAAAAAAATTTGCACATACGACAATATGTATGGACATTGGACTAATAATTATGTATGTTTCAGGGACATGATCGAGAAAGCGGTTGCGGAAGGCCATCTCACTTTCAAAGAGAAAGACATGAAAGTAGAAACTGATCCATTTGTTGTACATACTGGGTATGTGGAACCAGTATCAATGGAGATCAACATGGTGGACGTCAAGATAGACGAGGATGAAAACATTGAGCCTATTTCAGATGAGAAATTGGAAGAGCTTCAGGATGACTTTGCTAAGGAGGAAGAACCAATCTATCCGAAAGAGGGTGATACCTTGCTCGAATTCCTTACCATAAAGAAAAATGATGATCGGGAGGTGATGCTTTGCCCTCGTTGCAGTGTCGTATTTGATTGGTCTACGGCCAAGGCTTTCAAGGAGTCAAAAATCATGAAAGGATTTACAACTGAGAAGGCTCAAGAGAAGGTGAAAGTAAATGCTGGGATAACAATGCGGCAAGTTGATATGTCGCAATATAATGCCCTTATGGGAAAAATGGAGATGTATAATTATAGATTGTTTATAGATTGTTTTGGTTATAGTTACATGTCAAGCTCAAATGCTCCAGTTGGAAAATGGACCACTCCACAAAGACCTAATGTTAGAATGGGGCGAGGCAAGTAGGTCATGAGTTATTCGAAATCTCCATATAGAGGACCTCGATACATGCAGAACATGCCCGTGCGTTATGGAAAAGGAGCAGAAATATCCTTTCAATGCCTTAACCAAGACTCAATGGAGGAGACAACAGAGAATAAGGAAAGCAACGTTCGAGGGGTTTAGAGGTAACCGATTTTCAATCCCTGTGCCTCATGGAGGTGAATCCTTCAAGAAGTTCTCAGAGGATGATGAAGATTTGATTATAGATTGTTTCGAAAGTGGCTTTGAAGATTACCTTGAGGATATTTGTGGAGTGGTATCAATCCTACCTTCGATAATGATGATGATGATGATGTTTCCCTTGTGTTGTTAGTGTTGTACTTACTTGTGTATTATTTTCTCAGAATTTGGCTAAAAGACATGATATAGCTTAGTTCAGGCTATTCATGATTGATTTTTTGTTTTGATACTTCTTGCTTACGTAAGAAGTAGTGGTTGAGTGGTATCGCTCGTGTTGCAAGCATACGTGCCAATAGTAGTGGACGAAGCCTTGTGCTAACCAACTAGAACTATTAGAACCTTGGATGTGGGTGAGACATTGATTTGTCGAGTGTATTAAGAAATTACGATTGGTGGAGTTTCTAACATCTATAGTTGTAGCGGTTGAATCCAAGGAGGTTGTATGTTGAGAATTGGAGTGTTGGTATTCTTGATGAGAGATTGGAACGTTGGTAATTTCCTTAAGTGTTGGTGTTTGCATGTTAACCTTTTATGGTTTAGGTAGCATGTGAGTTTTATTTTCTATGTCTTCTGTGATGAATATGTGAGTTGTTTTGGTTTAGGATTTTAGTGGGAAGCTTGGATATGAATTTGAGGTGTGAGTTTGGAAGGATTAAGGTATTTCCGTGGCCTTAGATGTTGATACACTATTGTTGTCTGGTGTAGGGGATGTTTGCATTGCAGTTTTATTGTGCCATTACAAGTGTTATATTGTCAGAATTAGATTTTGTGGTCTTCAAAAAAGTTGTATCCTTGGACGTCATCTTTCTAATGGAACTAGAATCAGATAAAATGGAGGTCTAGAACTCCAATTATAGCTGCTTTGGTGATCAGAAGTCTAGTTGTAAGTGTGAATGTATCTGTTGTGGTTTTTGGAATTTTTAGCTAATCAGTTGATCTTTTTAGAATCTCATACCTTCACAAGAGTTGTAGATTATTCTCTTAGCTTTCTTTTGAGATAGGTTTGAGATCATTTGGATGAGTATAAATCTCTAGGTATCATTTTCTTTGATAGTTGTTGAAGGGATATGTACGGTGTCATTATATTTTGAGTTGTTACGTAATGCAAGAATAAAAATAGATTTGGTTATGATGTTCTGAGGCGTTGTCATATGGATTGAAAGGTTGTTTAAGGTTATATGATGATATGTGATAAAGTTGGTTCATGTACATGTTATATGGAGTAAACGGTGATTGATTCGTACATGCTTAGGGATGGTATATATGAAGGTTTAAAGTAGGTATTCTAATATGATTTGATATGCATGTATGTTGATATGAGGATAGATGACCTTATGGATCAATTAGTGAATGTTTGTGTGTTTAGTGAGATTGACCTTAGGATGTGATATCATCATATTAGAGTTAAGGGTGAAGATATATCCAAGACAACTTTAGGCTAAGTTATCTAAGTATGATTTTTGATTGTATGAAGTGAATTTTATAGGTCTTGTAATTTCTAGCGAAGGTATAATATAGATCTATTTAAGGTAGAAGTTGTGCTTAAGTGGGAGATACCTAAGTCAGTTAGTGAGGTTAGGAGTTTTCTTAGATTAGCTCATTGTTATTGGAGATTTATTGAGTAAATTTCTAAGATAGCATTACCTTTGAGCAAATTGACTAAGAAGAGTGTTGTCTTTGTGTGAGATAGTAAGTGTGAGAGTAGTTCCCAAACTCTTAAGGAAAGATCGAATCTTTTCTCCACACCGCATATTCACTAACAAAAGCCTGTAATCAAATTGAGCACTCATATATCAAATGACAGATAAATCAATATCGATAAATGATGAATTGGAAGAGTTCATAAAAATTTAAAACTGAAATTAATCAAACCTTTGGACCAGATCGTGATGTGTGATCGAACTGAGTAGACTTAGAAAACATGCCATTGGAGTCTGTGTAAATCTAATAAAAATAAAACATTAAGAAGGATGTGAGTAATTGAAAAACACAACAAGACAAGAAAACACTCTTGCCAAAGCTGAAGCAACAAATGAAAGTTCAATATGTAGTATCAGAATGTTATCATTACATGATAATCGAACAAATCAGCTGGATGATTTAATGGTTTAGTAGAAGCATCGCAATTTGAGATAATTTTAATATCAGGGTAGGCATATCTTATAGCATCATGGAACCTAAGGTAATTTCCTGATAAGAAACAAAAAGTCAAAAAAATTAAATTAAATTAACAATTGAATTAATCAAAGTCGATCTTTAGAATCGTGCAAAATTTCAAAGGTGATCGATCAGTCGTATAAAACAAGTTTTCATGGTTAACATATATATGAAGATTGCACTAAAATATGTGCTCACAGGATGATAAACACAATAAAATTGCATACCTTCATAATTAAAAAGACCACAATCTTCATTTCCAATAGCAACAAATCTCAAGTCAAATGGCTTAGGATGTCCCATTGCAGCTCTAACAGAACCCCACTTTGACCTAGGAGAGCCTTTTGCAAATTCAATGCCATCGAGAGCGTCCTTTTAATGCATAGATTTTATAGTAAATATAAAGATATAATTCATAATTAACTAAGAAGAAAAGAGCAAGGGAAGAAAGTTGTACTTGTACGTAAGGTGCTATGTTTGATGTATTAATTTTGTCATGGCGTCTGATACCTAAATGTGACATTTAAATTAATTAATTAATAAAAAAAAATTCAAATACTTGCATGTGATTGTTGAGAACAAATTTCAATTGGGGTAAGATGAATGAATATATATATATACCAGCGTTGAACACCCATACGGGCAATGTACCAAGGTCCTCTGTTAGCTGTTAAAAAATATTAAATCATTATATTAATTCAATTAACTAAGTAGGACAAATGGTGTAAAAAATCAGAAGAAAAAAATAGGACAAATTCAATTATGTTATATATGTAAAAAGATACTCACTTGGAGATACTCAAAATAACCGATTCCATCGTCACTCCAATAGTTCCAAATATCATTAAAGTGTCCAGGTCTCTCTTCCCATGGTCCAACAGTATCTTTCCACTGATATTTGTTTTGCAGATAATTACCTTCAACATAAGTGCCACCTAATGCATCGCCATTCACAAATAGAGTTATTCCAAAGGTTACATGGAATTCGACATATATACACCCTTGCACACAATGCCCTAATTACATGTGAACGGGTGAATACAACTAGATCAGTTTCGACAGCTTTTTTTTCCACCATGATACATTCTTTTAATTACTTATAACTGTCTAGAAACTGATTTGTGTTTTTACACATTTAATTTAACTGTTTAGGCAAGAATGCAGCGTATATTGTTCCCCAATATAAATAAATAAATAATATATAACCGTCGCAAAATCGTCATTTTCTTGTAGTGAGAGTATGTTGATGCAATGGAATTAGTGAATGAACAGGAGGACTTACATAGGGAAGATTTTTTCGATGACCCTAACTATGAGTCGAAGATAGTGTGGGTAAATCAAATCTCTCGAGTCATTCCCAGGTTTAATTTAGTTGTATTTGACTCACCAACCCAAGAGATGAAGGATCACCTCAAACCATTGTTGTTAACTCTAATGATCGAGGGCCATGAAGTCAAAAGGGTTTTGGTAGATGGAGGTGCTTCTATAAACATACTCCCACAAACAATGCTGAAATGATTTGGGAAAACTTTAGCTAATCTGAAGCCCCACAATATTCTTATATCTGAATTTGCGTGAAAATCCTCACAGCCTGAGGGGATGATCTTATTGAACGTCCAAATAGGAAGTGTGAAGAGGACCACTATGTTCATTGTGACTCCCTCGAAAGCCAACTACAATGTGCTGCTAGGTAGGGACTGGATTCATGGCATACGGGCCATACCTTCGACATTGCACCAAAAAATCTTGTTTTGGAATAAAGACGAGTAACTCGAAATGCTAGAGGCAGATCAAAGGGAATACGAGACTGGTATGTACTTTGCTGACCAGCAAATCACAGTGTTCGCAAAAACCAAGCCTTTCAATGCCAATGACCCATATGTTCTAGAAAAAGAAGAGGGCGTTAAAAAGACTTTTTGTTGGGATGTAAAAAGGGGATTTGTTATCCATCGAGCTGAAATTGAATTTGCTCAAAAGCAAGAATGATGAACCAAGACCAGTATTCGAGCTTTTTAGCTCAAATTTTGGCCTATATGGCCGAACAAACGGCCAAAGGGGACGAGGAGGATTATGAAGGTATCAAGGGAACTAGTGACGTCTCGAAGCATTTGGAAGGATATATGAACAGTATGGTTGAAATAGCCGAAGAAAAAGAAAACAAAAAATATGATCAAGAGAATTAGGGAGAAAGAATGGAGACACTAAAAGAAAATATCGATGCAAATTCTGACAAGATCGAGAGTCTACAGAGTGAAATGTCAGAATTAGAACCAAAGCTTGATTGTGTTTTCAATGATTCCCCTTTGGGATTCGAAAAGGAAATGAGTGAAGATTTCAAGATGGAATCCCAAGACCCATTAGAAGAAGTCAATATGGGTTCCATCGAGAACAAGAAAATCACTTACATTAGCAAGCTTTTAAAAAGGTGTCTTAGAGAAGAAATTATTCGAATATTATATGAGTATAGGGATTGTTTTGCTTGGGATTATGAAGAAATGTCTGGTCTAGATCGAAGCCTGGTAGAACATAGGCTGCCAATGATTCTTGGGAAGAAACCAGTAAAACAAAGTCCTCGAAGATTTTCTCCTCAGGTGATCCACAAAATTAAGGAAGAGATCGAGAGACTACTAAAAACCAAGTTTATCCGCACTTCGAGATATGCTGAATGGATCTCCAATATTGTACCTATCATCAAGAAAAATGGGAAACTCAGGGTATGTATTGATTTTCGAGACCTTAATGCGGCTACACCTAAAGATGAATACCCTATGCCTATTGCCAAAACAATGATCGATGCAGTTACAGGTAATGAAATGCTAAGTCTATTAGATGGGTATTCTGGTTACTATCAAATTTACATTGCTACTAATGACATGTCGAAAACCATTTTTCGATGTCCAGGGGCTTTAGGAACTCATGAATGGGTGATAATGCCATTTGGTTTGAAATATGCTGGAGCCACATATCAAAGGGCAATGAATTTAATATTTCATGATTTGATAGGTAAGTTTATGCAAGTCTATATTGATGACATAGTCATTGGATCAAAAAAGAGAGATGATCATTTACAGCACCTGAGGTTATCTTTTGAAAGAATGAGAAAACATGGTTTAAAAATGAACCCACTAAAATGTGCTTTTGGTGTTATAGTAAGAGAATTTCTGGGATTCATCATACATCAAAAAGGAATCGAAGTAGAAAAAAACAAACCAAAGCTATCATGGAAACTAGGCCAACTTTGAACAAGAAGGAACTCTAATCTTTGTTGGGTAAGATAAATTTTCTCAGAAGGTTTATATCGAATTTATCAAGAAAAACTAAGGTGTTCTCTCCTTTATTACGTTTAAAGAAAGAAGAAGCATTTCGATGGAGCGTAGAACGCCAGAGGGCATTTGAAGAGATCAAGTATTATTTGGCCCATCCTCTAGTGATAGCACCACCCTCTAAAGGAAGAATATTGAAATTATATGTTTCGGCCAACGATTTGACCATTACGGGCATGCTCGCGCAAGACGATGATAATGGCATCGAAAGAGTCATTTATTATCTAAGTAGAATATTGGTTGGAGTAGAAATCAGATACACTTCTACAGAAAAACTATGTTTAAGTTTGTATTTTGCTTGTACAAAGATGAAGTATTATCTTAGACCTTTTGATGTGTTAGTCTTTTGTCGAAGCAATGTAATTAAGTATCACTACAAGAAAAATGCTAATTTCTGATGAGAATTTCTGACAGAAACAAGTAAATTTTCAACATATTTTTTTTTCTCGATAGATTTAAATCCGTCAGAAAAAGTGGGGTCGAAAACAAAATCCGTCATAAATAATTTAATCCATCATAAATTTCCAACAGAAATATACGTCCAAAAATTGTGTCAAAAATTTTCAATAGAATTTTTCGTCAGAAATTATAATTTTTCGTAAATTTTAATAAATTTATTAATGTAATAGCCCTCATATTTGGCCTCTCAAGGGTTCTATTTCACGATATTTTACTTTTTAGCGTGTTTTATCCTTACTTGTGCAATTTCTGGGAAACTTCCCTAAAGGTCACCCATTCCTATACAAATAAAGTAAAAAAGATAATAACAATATAGCAACAAAATAACTAATAAAAAAACAAATAATACATAAACAGAAACCTATTAGGTTGGAATGTTTTCCCATATTCCTTCATCATGATCACTTCGAATAGCATGTATTTCGTCCACTTCATTGTCCGCAATAGGACCAAATGATCTGCTTGAAAAAGACGGTGTCTCATGCATATCTAGAGACTCATCTTCGTGAGTTCCATGCATGGTTCTTCCTTCGAGGACCACTGACCATTTCTCATTACATGGATC